CGTTTGGCGGACCCGGAGCGATGCGCGAGCTATTTTAGCCGGCAGTTCATACTGCATCCTCCGGCGGACAAGGCCAAGCGTCGAGTGACCAGAAGGCTGCACAAACTGCCAACAACTTGTGCCCCCCTTGCTTTCACTAGCGGTGCAGTTCAGGTGGCCATCGGGAAGGCGAAAGCCTCCAAAGCCATGGGTCCCGACGGAATATGCATGTTGATGCTGAAAAATTTGGTTGATGCGGGAGTACCGTTTCTAAAGGAGGTCCTCAATTTGTCAATGGCCACTCTCATCATCCCAGACATTTGGAAGGTGGGGCAAGTGGTCCCACTGCTCAAAACGGGGAAACCAGCCAACAAAAGTTTTATCGCCCGATAACCCTCCTTACCCCGGCAGCGAAGACACTAGAGGTTTTGCTACTCCCGTATTTCACGAACCACCTGACCCCGGCGAAGCATCAGCATGGATTTCGTAAATTGCACCGCACAACAACAGCATTTAACGCCATAAACACTCAAATAACACGTGGCCTTAACCGCAACCGTCCCTGTGAGAGAACTATTCTAGTAGCGTTGGACCTGTCAAAGCGTTTGACACCGCCAGCCACTCCTCGGTACTAGAAGATATAGAGGCTTCCTCTCTCCCACAGAGGCTCAAACGGTGGTCGGCGAAATATCTGAGTGGTGATACTCGTCGGTAATGTTTAGAGACAAATCGAGCAACTTGGGGCGCAGACAAAGAAACGTTGCTGGCAACATACAAGGCAATAGGCCGGCCGGTTTTAAAGCACCAGTGTGGTCACCGGGGACTAGTAGGACGCAGTGGATGAAGCTGCAGACGACGCAAAACACCGCACTACGGACAGCGACTGGATGCCTTCTGATGTCGCCTGAGCACCACCTACACGACGAGGCGAAATTGCTCCCGATCAAGGAGCACAATACAATGCTCTGCAAGCAGTTCCTTGTTGGGAGCCATAGACGTTGTCACCCAATTGGGCAACTGCTTGCAGAAGAGCCCTCGCCCAGGCACGAGGTTCATTAAACAACCTCTGGACCCGTCAGCTTATCGACAGGGCCTCAACGGCATTCAGAGGGAGTAAGTCTCGAGTTATGTAGACTGCAGATCTGTGAATGCCGTTCTAGGCGCACAACCACCGAACATTGACGAGACGGAGCTTCATCTGCCTCGGGAGACTAGAACCACAATAGCTCAACTTCGCTCTGGCTACTGCAGCAGGTTAAACTCATACCTGAGCAGACTAAATGCAGATGTACCAAATGAGTGTCCGGCATGCGGAGAGACACCCCATGACTCGGAACATCTCTTCGTATGCCCGGAAAACCCGACAACCCCAACGCCTTTGTCTCTGTGGATCGACCCTATTGAGGCTGCACGATTCTCAGGGCTGCGGTTAGAGGAACTTGATGACAACGATTGAGATACTAACCGAACTGGGCGGGATTGCTGTAGCCACTACAACAACAACAACAACAACAACTAAAATCAACAAACTTTCCTAGAATCCTTTTTAAGTGATAAGTATGGCAAAGTAACTTTTCGCAAAAAGATATTAAAAAGACGCCTAATAAATCTCCAATCTGGCATCGGTTATTTGGAAGAAATCATTTTTATTTTCATCAATCTTGTGATCCCGTTGTTGCTGTGTATCGANAAATCATTTTTATTTTCATCAATCTTGTGATCCCGTTGTTGCTGTGTATCTGGTGATGACATTGTTGTTTGAATCGATAATCTATTAATTATATTTTAGTGTTAATTTCATCAACGAACTGTTATTTTAGATTTTCTTTCCTCAGCGTTTGAGACATTGTGCTTTTAGAGATATTTGGAACACATCAAGATAACCAACCGTTCAGCTATTGGAAAACTAAAAATGCAGACCGATAGTACTTTTTACGCTGATTTCAACTATATAAATATTATTTGCCGCAATTAAAAAGTAAACAAGATATAAAAGGTTAAAGAAAATTTTTGTGATATTTTAAAATATTAATATTTTCTAAACTACGTAACCGATTAAAAGTAATAATATCAAAATAAATACTATTAATCTATCTTTAAGCTGATATATAAAATATGTTTGCTTTCTTATACATTTAAGCCAAAAATATTAAAAAACAAATAAAATGATATAATTTTTTCATAAAATAACCTTTTTTAGAAAAAAGTGCATAATCAATGCTAAAGACATATATATTATTTAAAAAGTGCAAGTTCTTACCGTTAATTTGATATACATATTTTATTATGATCTACTTTTGAGATTTAAGAATTCAGTGATAAAAGAAATTAAAAGCATTTACAAGCAAGTGACAAGTCGCGCACCGTCTTCAAAAGGGTCACAACTAAAATAATACGTTCGTCAGAAAATGTGAAAAACTGTTTCGTAGCACATGTTAATCATATGGGCAAGGACGTCTTTACCATAGGTTTTTTTAACAAATTATAACAAAAATATGCTCCAGCTTTTGCTGAAAGGTAAATAAAAGGTCTGTGTACATTTTTAGCGCATAATTTCAAAAATGCCAAATTTTGAGTTGACTCTTTTGAAGATGGTGTGCGAAGTGTGGGTGATATCATAGTTTCTTTTGCTCAGAACTTCTTTCTGCGTACAAAGTAGAATTCTCCTTTCGATATTGCCGAAGAAGCGGAGCTGAACACCTTTTGCAGAGAACACCTTTCTGTGTAGGCGGCCTTCGGCCGCACTTAGGAATTATAACCCTTACCAAATAGAACTCTCCCCAGTGATGTCTATTATGGTTACTGGGTGTTTTATAAAAATGTCTTGTATATAAAAATGTGTCTTGTGCAAATGAATATTTAACATTTTTCAAGCGAAAAAACGCAAATGAATACTGTGATTTTTGGCCAATTTTCTAAGGGGTCCCTAGGGAACCATAGGGGACCTAGGTGGTCGGGGGTTGCCTCTTTGTCAATGGCGGTTCATTCCCTCTACAAAAAGGTGAGTTAGAGGTGCCACGCCCACTTACCTTTCGCCCACCGCCCCTTTAACGAACGGCCATAATGGAAAGGCAACCCGTTTGATTAACTACAATATGCATTTGCACATATGTACATGCATTTATATTTTTTATTATCACTGAATTCTAAAAACTCAGAAGCAAATCATAATATAATATGTATATCAAATTTAAAGTAAAAATTTGCACTTTCTAAGTAATATAAATTCTTTTAGCTTCACATTTTATATATCAGCTTGAAGATAAATTAATTGTCTTTATTTTGACATCATTAGCTTTTGAATCGGTTATGGGCTGTTTTTGCTTACGCGTAAAAGCACATTTAGCGCATTTAGCTCTAAATGCTACTCTAAATGTACATTTATCCATACAAAATTCGTCACCTAAATGCAACTAAATGCAACTCCATTTTTGCATTTAGAATCTAAATGCTAAAAGCAACCCTGTGATCTTCCAAAATTTCCACGATTCGAACATGGTTTAATGAGAAGAAGTGGCAACATTGCTTTTTCGAGTATACAGTCGCTAGCTGCATTTCAGTGATCGCCGATCGAGATTTCATTTATTATTTTACATTATTTGGATAAAGAAAAGTTACGCAAATTAAACATCGATATGATGCTGATAGAAATCTGGCTTAATTTGTGAACAACTCTGTTTGTTTTGTTTCCTAATTAAGTGTGGAAATTATAATTGACAGCACCGACAAATGAATATATACACAAACAAATGTTTGGTTATGGTTAAAACAATTCAAGTTTTTGTATTGAATTTTCGGTTTAGAATTTATTTTTTCCTTTTCAGTAGGGATTTTTGGACATTATCTTTTCCGTGAGAATTTATCGTAATAGATACGGATCTGAATAAGCGACTGGAACACGGCTGTTTGTCAAAAGCATACGATTTCGAACTCGCGTAAATGTACATTTGCTAAATGCGATAGCATGAACGCTCTTCGAAAACATATGTTCGAAAGTGCTAAATGTTGCATTTAAAATGCAGCAAAAACGCTGCATTACGAAGTTTAGAAAATATTAATATTTTAAAATATCACAATTTTTTTGTTTTACCTTTTATATCTACTTTACATTTTAATTGCGGCAAATAATATTTATATAGTTAAAATCAGCATAAAAGTACTAGTAATCTGCATTTTTAGTTTTTCTATTGCTGAACGGTTGGTTATCTTGATGTATGCCAGATATTCCAGCACTAAATTTGCACAGGAATACAATAAATTATAAATTGATTAAGGTTAAAGGTTTCTTTTATTGTTATAAAAATATTATCGATTAAGCAATCAGCTGATAAATAACCTAATCGAAAAACCCCAAACACCTAATTATGCATGCAAGTCGTCACTCCGATAATCACTTCACGTTTCCACCCAAGTCAGTTCGAAACACTTCATTTTTGGTGTGTTTCCATGAACGAAAGACACAAGATCACGTAAGAACAAGAGAGTGAAAAAAGTCGATTTTTTTAGCGGGTTCTACGCCATCTTGTTTCACTGGAAAACGAGCGAAAAGTAAACAAAGCAAAGAAAACAACGAAAACCAAAATTAGCCAAAATTATTGTCAGCCACTTTAAACGCACAATTTAGGTAAAATGATGCAACAAAATGCTTTAAAATGTGTTGTCATGTTGAACTAACTCTTCTTTACTTGAATAAAAGTGTAAAATAAGGGTGCTTGTGATTTAAACAAACGCTCAGCTGACGAACCCGCTTTCGCAAACTTTTTCTCAAAACCAGTTACAAATACAACGTCGCGTTCTTACGTGAACTTGTATTTTTGGTTCATGGCATCGATGTTGCTTCAAAAATTAAAAAAATCGATATATCGATGTCAGAATCGATTTTTTTTGCAACTCTAACCCAACTCTAGTTGAATTGTTTTAATTTTTCCCGTATTATTCCTCGCACTACCTTTGAAATGTATTTTATTACGATACAGATTTCAAACAGGAGTTTTGNAAAAAAATCGATATATCGATGTCAGAATCGATTTTTTTTGCAACTCTAACCCAACTCTAGTTGAATTGTTTTGATTTTTCCCGTATTATTCCTCGCACTACCTTTGAAATGTATTTTATTACGATACAGATTCCAAACAGGAGTTTTGGCCAATTGAAAAATTTATACAGGTATAGAGGCAAGATTTCAGGGTTAAACGAAAGACCAGATCCAACAGCAATACCTCAGGACTATGTGGGACCACCAGATAAGTTGTCTAACATACGGCCTTTTGTTAGACATATACCAAAGGACGAAACTGATAATGAATCTCGATTAAGGGTGATGCAAGAAGAGGTAGAGAATTGGAATCACGAATTCTGGAGCAGACATAACCAAAGCTTCTACAATGTGAGTAATAGGGCGAATTTATAATATTTCTGACTTGATATTGGACAAATTTTCCAATAATGGACCAGGCTTTGGAAAAAATAGTGATGAGGGGATGTAGAGGGCGTTCCCCTGATTTGAAATCTGAAAGTCCCCCCACCGGAGGCGTATAGTTTTTAAGTAATTAGTAGGTTAAGTTGCAAAAAAAGTAAAATTCAACCTCACTGTCCTTTGTAGAGCGATTGAATTGAAACTTCCGTGCTGCCACACATCCCAAAAAATGTCGGAAAAACAAACTAAAAACGGAAACAATGAAGCCCCACGTTATTTTAGTGGATATTTTCACTATATATCATAGTGTTGATTTAAAAAAAAAGCGGGGAAAATGTTTGGTTATTGGCTCACCGTTTTTCAGGTGGGCGGCGGGGGAAGAGGGCGTGGCCACCCACTTTACGAAAAGCCGCACCCACCTTTTTGGGGACCTCCCACAGACCCCTAGGAAACCGTTTGAAAATTGGGGAAAAACTGCATTTACCGAGGCAATCTGAGCAGTTTGAAGTGGAATAGGGTGGGCTTTAGTATTCAGCCGCACCTTTTGTTTTAAGAAAACCAGGTTGAATTAACAAATGAAACTTGGTCAGGATGTTAAGGGAGATTTCCTCTAAAATATGTGTAACTAAAAATATAAGCGATATAATTGTTTATAAGTTATTTGTTAAAATTTCTCTTAATTCGTTCCACCTGATTTCCTTATCAAAAAGTGCATTTGTCACATATTTTCTTATATATATAAATGCACATAACACTCTACCTAATAGATTACACTTATTTTATTTTATCTTGTTATAAATCACTTTAATCCAACTTTTCTTAACTTGAAAATTACATTAAATTTACAATAGGTTTGTATAGTAACCAATAGTCAGTACTAATTTGTACTGGAACCTGCAAATTTTTACTGGAAAAGTGTATGATAACCCAAAAAATTTCCAAGAGAGCACTGAACCGAGAGAGTAGCAACACCGGAAGAACAAGTTCTTGCTAGTGAAATTTTTACTAGCAGAAGAAGAAGAAGAATAAATGTCAAAAGCCGCCATTTTTTGAATTGGTGTAGCTCAATCAAAAGTAAAATGAGTGGAAATCAAAATATTAATGATGTACTGGGCTGTGTAAGTGCTTGTGTGTAAAGCAAAGAGTTTACAACTGATTTATAAATAGTAAAATGTTTACAGCAGAATATCAAAACAGTGCAAGAACTATTCACTTGCACTTTTTGCTAGTTTTCTCTTCTCAATCTTACGCTCTATTTTGCTTTTCACTCTCGCTACATTGTTTTACTGGAGAAGTTACTATACAAACCTAGTAACACATGGTTGCAACCTGACACATGTGTTGCCATACTGTACAAAACAATACAATAGAAAGGATAATTCGACGTAGTGAGTGTTATAATCCCTAAGTGCGGACGAAGGCCGCCTACGCAGAAAGGTGTTCTCTGCAAAANCCCCCCCCCCCCCCCTTCCTCGACAACACAGAAAGGAGAATTCTACGTAGTGGGGGTTATAATCCCGCAGAATCGTTCATTCACAGGTCTAGAGTCTACATAACTCGAGACTGAATTCCTGTGAATGCCGTTCAGGGCCTGTCGGTATGCTGACGGTTCCAGAGGCTGCTTAATGAACCTCTGGACTTTGTCCGTCGGTTCCTATAGATGCCTCCTGACGTGGCTAGGCGAGGGCTCCTCTGCAAGCAGCTGTCTGTTCGGGTGGCCACATCTGGGGCTCCCAACCAGAAACTGCTTGCAGAGCATTATGTTATGCATCCGGTCGCTGTCCTGACTGCTGCAGGACCCAAATTTTTCAGCATCAGCATGCATATGCCGTCGGGATCCATGGCTTTGGAGGCTTTCGCCTTCCCGATGGCCACCTGAACTTCACCGCAAGTGAAAGCAAGGGCAGTTGTGCAGCCTTCTGTACGCTGTATTTTCTGTATTTTCCTACTCAGGGCTGGCATCGAGTCAAACCCTGGGACAGAAACATACACCTGCTGTGTATGCCGAAGACGATTACACCACAACTCCACCTCAGTCAAGTGTAATGCCTGCGAGGGGTGGAGTCACCTCAGGGTCTGCTCGGGACTACGGACACACAGACAGTGGACCACGTCGTACGTGGCCCCCTGTTGCTCAAACAGAGCAGCCTCCACGGCTAACCATAGTCCGCCCGAGCAGCCCACATACTCACACAGCAGCCACACACAGTCACCACAACACAACAACATAATAACACCACAGACCGTACCACAGCCACTACAGACCACATAACACTCACAACCGCACCACCACCCACACGCCGCCGCCAACAACTCCTGGTTCCCCCTACAATCTGCACGGTATGTCAGACCAGGATATTCCGTAATGTGACATCAGTCAAGTGCAACACCTGCCTTGGCTGGTGCCACTTTAGGGCATGCTCAGGTCTGCGTACCACGCGAGATTGGACGGGGAACTTCGAGGGCCCGTGTTGCGCTGCTCGGTCGCAGACTCCAATTGCGACGCCGCCCACCACCACCACAGGGCGGCAATCACCTCAGCAGCACACACAGCAAACGGCGGCAAGAACATACACTTCACTTACACCCCACATCACGACACGTCTCCCGAAC